TTAAACATGGTGTTTCAAATAATTTTTTTCTTAACAAACCAGACATCGGATCATCCCAAGAAATTCTGTTACCTGCAAAAAACAGGTAACAGCATCACTGTTCCTCCACCATGTTAAACAGAGGATGCTGTTTAACAAGCTGTTTCTTCTCCATCATTTGTTAGAAAAGAAAGCTTTTCTTTTCTAAAAATGATAATGTAGATTACTTGTTCAAAAAGAAAAAGACTTATGTGAAATGTGGTCTACCCACCTCCACCTTTGTAAAAGAAAAGGTGGAGCTCTGAAAATCATTAAAGCTAGACACAAAGCAGTCCTGGAGGAATACCTGCAAATGACTCGACATTCCAGCTGCTCTGTGATCCTAAACATACAACCAGTGACAATAAACCGGTTTAAACCAAGGCGTTTATATTTGACAAAGGGGCCCAGTTAATGTCCAGACCTAAATCTCATTAGGAAGAACATGTAGAAAGAGTTAAATATCACAGACATTATCCACCGATCTTACTGAAACAAGGACATTTTTCAAAAAAGAAGATGGAAAAAACCCTGTTTTAGGTGGTTTTAAAAAATATTGACTCAGCAGGACTCAGTGCACGCTTTTCAAGTAATATAAAAACTTACACCTATTATATCAATTACATTTTACAATTGAGCACAACTTTTTGTTGATTTGTAACATAAAATCTCAATGAAATAAATTCATCTTAGTGCTTAAAACATGTGAGACCATTCAAGGGTTATTACTTTTGGAAGGTGCTGTGCTTTAGCAGGAACACTACATGTTTGAGCATTTTAATCAGGCCTGCGTGTGCTGGCTCAAACATTTTAACACCTGAGAAAATGGACAATCTTCCAAACACAGCAACACATAAATTCAAAACTTTTCAGGATGTTGGCACCAGAAAGCAAAGAGAACCAAGGGAGGTGATGATAATCTGTGCCTAACCCTGGGTTTCCATCGATTTAAGAACAACTTTGATGATCTTGACAAAAGCACTCATATTAAATTAAATAAATAAACATGCGTAATAGTTTATTTTCCAGCAATTTTGTATTTTGAAGTGTTGACCTGAGCGTTCCTAGCACCACTCTCTGACCAGCTGAGCTAACCAGCCATACATGTTGAGTTTCCATGGATTTAAGAACAACTTACATGATCTTAAGATTTAAGAAAAGTGCTCATATTACAATGTTTTTCAAATTCTATATTCAGAATGGTTTAATTTAAAGCCTTCTATTATATTGAAGTATTGATTTTCTGAAAGCATTTATGTTTCCACTGAAGGGGATTGAGCCCATAAGTGAAGGTGATTTTAAGTGAAACTATATGTATTATAACCGTCGGGCCAATCATGGATTCTGCTTTTGTTTTTCTAGTTTCTAAGCTTGATGACTTGTTTTTTTTTTTATTTTCTACACCTGCATCCATCAATAGGATCTAAAACGTGATTAAAAACGACTTTTCCCAAATCTCCACAGCTAAACCAGTTTACCACACTCACTTAGAATTTCTCTTTAAAAACAAAAAGTAACTATTCAAAAACAAGACCGCTGTATTTTTATAACCATATTCATGGCCTCTGTGCAGCAATTTTGCAGCCCAGTGATCTTTACCTGGAAAAGTACACAAAGAAAAGAGATGTCACAACTGTTGTGTGAAACTATGATAAACTGAAGGGATTCTCTTTGGAGAAATCTATTTGGTGGAAAAAACTGTAGAGAGATCCAGAATGAAATCACATCAGGCAATTATAGTTTTCATTTTATTTAAACCAAGAAAGAACAGTAAATGACAATGAATACAAAAAAACACAAACAGGAAAAATGTGTTGGCAGTACAATAAGTTAAACAACAGAGGAAAAAATACAAACTTTTTTCAAAGAAATTGTTTAAAGATACATGAAATGCAAATGGTCTATAAGTGAGATGTTATACTAAACCAATCCCAATGAAACAAAATATGTACAAGATCAAAGACAGCATGTGGTGTTAAAGGTTTTCACATAATTTAAACAAATTACGAGCAAAGAAGCTAAAAAAGGAGGAACTACTGCAAAATTCACTCTTCTTTCAGATTAAAAAAATAACTGTTAGACATTTTCCTAAAATTAAGATTAATATCGTTCTCCTCCAGTTCACTTCACTATTCATAATAAGACTGATGGTCACAAATTGACGCCGTTTTTATTATTCCAGGAAAGGAAGTTACATATCATCTCCAGTCTTCTCCCTCCTGACACTTTCCTGTCTCCTCAGAGGAAATGGAGAAATAAATGTTATTGGCTTCATGACCTTAGCTCTAAGCGGACTCATGGATTCTTAAGGGTACAAATAGATGCACATACATCCGTATTCTCACTTTCTCTCTTTTTTTCTCTCCCAATAAGACGGTTTGGCACCAAGAAAACCCGAAGCAGCAGGTTTTACTCCCACATGTTGTAAAGTCCAAGTTTACTAGTTTTTAATTTTATTTGAAACCGTTTCCATTGTGTTGCCTCTAGTCTCAGATGCATAAAGTCATATTTAAAACTGTCAGGAGAAGAAGGGGGTTCTGGTTTCAGCCTGAGGAGGCTTTAAAAACACCCAGGGAGTCTTGTTTATGTGAGCAGGAATGCTTCAGAGCAATAGCTGAAATTCCTCTCCCAGTCAGGTGCAAAAGTAAGAAAACATCCTCAGAAAAAGATCTGTACTCTGCTCCAAATGGCCGGATTCCAAGCTTCAGGACAAAGAGTTCATTTGTTTTAAGCTCAGATTTATTGACATTTTTATGACACATTTTAAAGTCACTGGAAGTATCATTATAAGTTGTACTTTAACAAGTTATTTAATAACTAAATAACTTAGAAAGCTTTAAAATAAATTTCTCTTTTGCTGCAGTTACATAATCTCACATTAAAGGCCAAATATCTTCTGGAGAAAAGTTTTATGATCAGGCAAAGACAAACACTGATAAGATAAGAAGACAGGGTTCAATGTGATCGGCACAGCGGTGGAAGGACAACTGTTAGAAAAATTAAAAACCATTTAGGTTCCAACTGGATAATAATCTGAATCTCTAATCAAAACTGGTTTTCAAATGAAACTGAAACGTTTCTCTGGTCTACGCTACGCAGACGGTTCAGGGTTAGGAACCAACGTTTTTCAATCAGGTTTAACATCCAATAGGATTTTTGCCAGAAGTTTGATTATAGCAATAAAACATGTAGTTAAAGTACAACTTAAGAGATATCTAGCCAAATACTAGGAGGGATGTATGTACATATTTGATATTGCATGCATATCTTTGATCAATTCGGTATAAAAGTATTTAACCTTATTGATCCAGTTCTTCTCCTGACCCCCAAAACAAACAAATCCACTGCAAAGTGACCATAAAGTTGATGGACATGTGGATGTAAAGCTGTATAAAAATATCTTATCTTAATGTGAAAATACGTGCAGAGTAACAGTTCACTCTGCATACAGAGGCATTTTCTACAAAATACTTTCCTCTGAATCTGAGCTCTGAGTTTCTGATCGACGTTTCTGACACACCGTGAGATGCTGTGGTAAAGTTTACTAATAGGAGGAAAAAAGTCGTATTTGCAGCATTAAAAAGTGAAAAGTGAACTGCCAGTAAGTTAGAAACAGAACAAGAACAATATTTAGCTGTAGTACTGTTAAAATGATGCTTTAACCCCTTAACCGAAACGTAAGCCACAGATCACTGCAGACCACATGGATCTGCAAAGTGAAAATTGTTATAAGCAGAAAACGGATGTACTTCTTGAAATCAGTTTTAGTTTTTGTCTCATCTTTTAAATGTGCATTGTGAGTTTTATAAATGACATTAAATATTAGACTACTATCTGTGATCTGGAAGCATGTGAACACAGTTCTTTGTATATGAGTGCAGGTGATTTTGTTTTCTTGGATTAGGTTAAAACACGATTCAATGAATGATGAATAATGGAGTTTCCAAATTAATGGTTTTTGGAGATTCTTCAGTTCCAGGCTTCAACTTAGAAATTTCAATCTGCTCAATATGCACAGCATTAATCAAACCTGTCAGAGTGAGAGCGCTGATCTGGGATCATGGAAATTTCACACCACTCCCCCCCACCAAGGGAGGCAAAACTGATCCAAGATCAGCAGTCCTACGCGACAGAGCCTGATCACAGCTGGTGACGACGCTCAGCTCCTCACTCCACTAGATTTTGGTTTCCCCGTTTCTGCTACAGATGAAGCCAGTCTCGTCCTCTTAGACCAGCTCCACCTTGGAGTTAGGATACACGGCGACCACGTCGTAGCCCTCAGGCGGCTGGACGCGGGCCTTGGCGTGGGTCTCGCAGTACAGACTGTCCTCAATGAAGAAGTAGCCTCTCTGCTTCAGGTTGATGCCGCAGTCGTCACACATGAAGCAGTCTGGGTGGTAGAGTTTGTCCCGGGCCTTTACGATTGTGCCACTGCGCAAAAATAAAAAAATGGTTAGAGCATTTTCTCTTCTTTCTAGAAATATAACCATAGTGGCTGAGATGCTTTTCCTTTCATCAAACATACGTAGCTCATGCTAACTCACTTAATTACAGCATGAAAGTCTGTCAGTGTTTAGTATCTGAAACCTACATAGTGAAGATAAATCCTGGTCAAATGTTCACATTTGATCTGCTGAATAATTAGAACTGATAGTTTTAAAACCTTTTCAGAATATGGTGAGGTGTTTATTTTGCACCACTGAACTGAAAACAATCTTTTAATATAAAAAATTAAAGAAAAAAGAAGAAGGTGCAATGATCTGGGTGCTAAATGTTCGCACCATGAACTAGAAGCATGCGACTCATCAGTCTGGTAAATGTCACACCTGCCGTCTGAATAACCTGAAATAAAGTTAATCTTTATTAGTTGGATTTTTCTGAATCTTCCACATTTTCAATCTTTTTCAAACACTCCACTTTGTAAAGACATGTCAAATTCAACTGTAAAACAGTACCAGTCAGGAAAAGGGTACAAAATCTTGACAAAGTATTTTTATGGTATAATGAAACAAAAATGTTTTTGGAAATTGCCAAACATGGCGGTGGCAGCATCATGCTTTCATATTACTTTTGCTAGAGTCGGATGTAAGCTTTGAATATCAGTCAGTTTTGACCCAAAACCTTTAAGCCTCTGCTAGAAAGCTGAAGATGAAGAGAGATTTCATTTGCAGCATCACTGAGTCCAAACATGCACAGAAATACACATAATTCTAACTTCATAAGAGGGAAAATGATGTTTTGGATCCAACAAGAGAATCTGGGGCTCATCTAATTACTGAAAAATGCTGACAGAATTTTACCGAACAAGACTGAACGTTAAAATGAATCACAAGATGTTTGACAAAGCATTCATTTAAAGGTGTGCACTCTTATGTAACCAGGTTTTTTTAGACAGATGTGTTTGTTTTTCAGTTGAATTGCACAGGATTTAAATGTGATGTCATACATGGAAACAGTTTCAAAATGATTTATCATAGTTCTTTTTATTCCCAAGGGTGTGTCTGTACCTTCTGAGAGCCTCAGTGTCTATGGGTGTCTGCTGATGCTTTGATAACTACGTAAGCACAATATAAATTCATTTCAGACTTTACTCACCTTGAGCCTCATTGTGCCACATCTACATCTTTTATTTTTAATTTCAGAATATTACAGTTTTCCTTTTTTAAATGCAGTCATAATTGTGGAGTGGTGCAATTCATATGCAAACAAAAAAGTTTTCAAAAAGCTTGTGTTGCTTCAGGGAGATGACATCATCACATTAACACTTTAAAAGGTAATGAGTTATGATGAACTGTCCAGTGACACAGTTGTTTATTTAAACAATATCTATACAAATCAGACATTATCTTTTTTTACAGCCACTTATAGCCCTTTGCTTATTTGAATATATGTGTCCCACATGTTATCACGTATCAAAGGACACATTATGAGTGTGTTTATATGCAGAAGGACCAGAGCTGTCACGCCTGGAAACTGGCTCCATTTGCCTTGGAAGTCACAGCTGGGATCACAGTGATTAAATTAAAGCCAACTTCATCAGGCTCCAGCTGCAAGCTAAAAACAGATGGATTTGCTAATTGTTGTATTCAATAAAGGACCAACTCTTATTAGGCAAAGAAGCTCATTAACATGGGTTTCTGTGACTTTTATGCATTTAATCTCTAATGAAACTTTGTTTATAAGAGATGCAACAGGAAAACCAACTTTACGGCTCAAATGGAATGTAGCAAAACAGATTCTTGAGGCAAACTATTAACGAGAAAACTGGCTGCCCAAATAGTTTATGTGCTGCTCTGAATAAAACTCTAGTCACACTATTTACTGACCGAGATATTACAGAGGTCTGTGGTACCACACAAAAACAGAGTTTTCTTTTTAAGAGTCACAGAACTTTAAAAACAAGTTCTGTTACTTAGAACTCACATAGTTCTAAGTAAAAATGACTGACTTTCTCCACTTCAGATGTTAAGGATTAATTTAAAAATCCTGTCTCAATATTAATGTTAGTAACTCTCATGCCAACTTCTGCAGACACTCTATCTGCACTCATGAAGATTCCTTCACTCAGACACGCCAGATGCTTGACAGATCTACAACATGTTTGCCGTCCAGCCAATTTTCTGATTAATTTAACTACAACACATTTACTGATATGCACAAGTATATATCAATACATCAGAATACCACCAAGTTTCAGTAATTCAGTTAAAAAGGGAAAATCCTGTACGCTTCTGTTATATGTTTTTAGGGTTTTTCTGTAAAATTCATTACGGCCTAAAACTAATGCAAATCCTGTCAGTTTTTCAAAGAATTTGGATTTTCATAAGACCAAGACCATAAAATGACATTAATACAGAAAGACTGTGGGATGACCCACTCAGTCATGTGAAAGAATGCAGAGTTTAAAGTCATTATTATCATCCACTGTAACAATAAACCATTGCTAAAGAATAAAGCTGTTCACTGATTGCTCTATCCAAGTCTATGAATAAAAACTTCAGTAGCAGGAAAAATGCAGTAGTAAGTTTAATACGTTGCCATGGTAGTGTAATATATTGAGATTCATCCTCACAGACCATAAATGTTTAGACAGAGAAGACGGTGAGGCAATCACTAGGCAGGAAGCAGAATTAAAACACATGGTGCTGTCAAAGCACACGGCAACATGCAGAACGTGGCCAAATCACATGCAGCACATATACTTTATAAAAACGACAAGACCTAATTTTTCACAAAATAATCCCCTTACTTTTAGATGAGCATTAAACATGCATAGAGAAATGCCAAAATGAGACAGACTGTGACAGCAGCTTAATGTTTTAGTTCTGGACTGCAGCACAGTGATCATTAAAACAAAATCCTGCTTCTTTTTTAACCACAATGAAACCAGTCATGCTTGACTGTAAAACCTCTCGTCACAAAGCTCTATACATGCTCCAAAACGCTGTAAAATGCTCAGAGGTCATAATAGGCTGTTCCTGCCTGCAAGCCCCCCAATGTGTTCCTGTCAGTGTAAAGCGGATGACATCACTGCCTACCTGTGGCAGCTTTTATGCGGGTTACCGGTGCTGGTGGGAACTTTGGCAAACAGACTGTGTGCATCTGTGTACCTACGTCTAACCATGCAGCTATGTGACGCTGGGTGTGGAGTGTGTCTTTGATTAATCATTAAAATAAACTTTCTGAGAAATAATGGCTGGTTGGTGCAGGTCGAATGGTGCGAGTTAACCTCTCTGATTCCAGCCAGAGTAAAACCTTGACTCACCTAGCATGGTGTGGGTCTTAAAACTTTACGACTGTAGGCGACGTGACAAAACAGGCAGAAGATATACGATTTCCAGATGCAGTGTAAGCATTTCAGCAGTCATACGCTTATATCTAAACCATGCAATTCATTACACACTTTTTCTGTTGAGTTGGAAAAAGTATTACAATGTCTTTGTGTATTGAACTTAAAGTACTTACACGATGCCGTTGCAGCAGCGTGAGCACTGGGGGAGCTTCTGCAGACCAGGCATGGGGCTGGGGATCGGGCTGCCCAGCTTTGGTATGGGTGACCTGACCGGAGATCTTAAGCTTCTCATTCTTTCTGTTGGTGACAAACCTGTTGCAACAAAACAATAAACGTAACTTTAACCCAAAAATATTCAGCTGTCAGACATCTTACAAGCAAGACTCTCACACATAAACATGGAACAGTTTTCCAACATCAACACTTTCTCTGTAGGTCTCTGCTAAATGTTTATCTTACACACAGGTTGTGTTTGCTTTGCTTAATGTGATTTGATGATAAATGGATTTCTGATTCTGCTTATTTTATCAGTGAGATGAATGGCTTTCAGACATTCATTCAAATATTTTCCATGCATGTTTGAACTAGACGGAAAGTTCCTGCAACTTCTCAAAATGATCTGAAAATTGTGACCATCAGTTCCGTGTAATGCAGGAAGATTAATTTCTCATGCTGTCAGGTAATAAATAACGTTTGAAAACGAGTTAATTACTGTAAGAAAGGATACAGGTTTCTCTATAACAAGTTGCTACAAATATTGTGTAACTTGGCAAGATGAATATTGTTTTCTGTTTTTTACTTGACTGCATCTGTAGCAACAGAAACTTGGAAACAGATGAGGTATGACAGGAGATTAAGATTTCACAAATTATTACTTTGGTACCATAAATTACTATTGCAGTTTATACAAGATATGTGATAAATGCATTGAACCAAAATGATGTTTCAACATTACTTTCAGGTGTTGTAACCTCCAATTCCTACTGACATGCTACTGACTAAACTGAACGGCATCATCTTATTATCTGGTGGAATTTATCGTTATGAATATCCTATAATGAACATCAGAAACTGGAATTGTCAAAAATTATAATTCACTGATGAGTTAATTTGTTTTTCAGTGAGACGTTTTTGTTCTTTATGGAGCTTTGCTGCAAAATGACCAACAGACAGAGAAATCCTCCTAATAAGAACCGATGCCCTCTGCAAATGTTGGAAAAATGTGCAAAAACATTTATATGAGAGCTTTTAGAAGAGTAATATTTATGATTTGTTTGGTTTAGTGGAGGAGTGGTGAAAGTTTAGGAATAGGTTAAGCTTTTTCATTCAAACAAACCACTTGAAAGTTAATGACGTCAGATTAACCTGGATCGCTAAATAATAAAGTATTACAGTTCTTTTTCTAAAAATGTAAAGCCACTGTATGCAGTTTGGTTTTGATCAAGTTGAAACATGAGACCAGGATGACGTGCTGCCACTGCAAGTGTAGGCACAGCACTGCGCTCCGTTTCACAGCACAATAAAAGAAAAGTATTGAAATAAATAAACATTCCTTGTTCTCTGCTTTCGTCTTCAGCTTACATCACTGTCTTGAATTTTCCTTTTCTTCCTCTTACTAAGTTTTTTCCTCCCCAGGACTTTCCTGTGTTCTCTGTTCATGTTTCTGCAGCAGCATTTCCTGGTAAGATTTCACCAGTCAAAGCCGACTGATGAAGGGAAAACAACCAATGCCGCAAAAAGCCACAATTTAATCATCATATCATTATGCAACAATCACATGATTTGTGAATTACAATTATTGTACTGGCAGGAGCAGTCGGAGTCAGATTCTTCACATTTTTATTGACTTCAAATCCAAATCTTGTTACAATCTGTTAAAGTAATGACGCATAAGCGATAGGGGTGATAATCATGGTGGGTGTAGATGAGTTCCCACAGATGGTGAGTTTTATGAAGAGCTGTCAGCTTAGATCATCAGGTGTTTAGTTATGCCTGCTTAGTGGGTATGAATGTGGCGTGCTTCACGCTGGATGTCTGAGCTACTTTGGTCGTTTAAAGTGCAGTAAAGCAGATCAGAGGAGTTCATAGTATGACTGATCAACATCACTGATGATGTGCCAGGACAGGATATTCAAGCCAACCGGGCTGGTATGATGAACACTAACCACAGTTTAATCAGCCCTCATCTGGAGCTGGGCTTCAAGCACCTCTTATTCCTCACTAACTGCAGACATGTGACTGAACTACTGACTGAGCCACATTCACTATTAAATGTGGCTTTAGTATCTCTATAATGTAATGAAGAACTGGAATGGAAAAAAAAATTATGTGCTGCACAACTATAGAGTGACTTTCTATTAAGTAGGCTGACTAATAAAGGGTTTCCAACCACACACACGCACGCACACACACATGAATGCAGAAAGTGCAATTAGTGAGGGCTTGTTTAGTCTTGCTTGAGTTTTATATTCCGATGGTGGACCCGCATACAGTAGCCTGATTCACAGAATCTGATTTGCTCTGCTCACAACACACACCTCACTTTCTTTAACAGACTTAAACAAATATTTTGCAAAACATCAGACTTTTGATATCCAAATTTAGGCCACATAATGATGTTGAAATTAAAGCTCATGTAAACAATCCCAGCCACTTTTCAGCCACATGAAGACAACAATAGATGCATTTATGAATACATCTGTTCACCATGTATGGCTTTATGTATCAAAGTGGTTTGTTATTTTACAGCAAAGCTAGTTATAAACAATAAACATTGAAATAATGTACTTATTAATGCAACTGAACTCTGCTTATAATTGCTGACCAGCTTTCTGCAAGTTTCCAAAGGCAATTTGGCAAAATAAAATCTGAGAGTATTTGAGCTCTCCTTGCCAACACCCTAATCTTTGCAGAGTCTCCACTGGACTGAAGTCTGGACTGCACCGCTCCAAAGCATTATTATTACTGACAGTAGAAATATGTTAGCAAAATTAAAAGATTCAATTTTATATAAATATACCAGGTGTACAAAGAATCTTGGGCTTAAATATATTCCATTAATGGTTACAATGTAATATTAGTATAAATATAGCCTGATGGCTTTCCTTCTCAATGTCTATGAAAGATAAATATGTTACTGCATTACTGCAATAGCAACATGAATTTGTGAAAAAATATGCAGAAAACATTTAGTTTGCAATTGATTTTCTAAAATGTTACAGAAAACCAAGATAAATTTCAGGAAAAAGAATTTTATCGCAAAAATACGAGTTTCTGTTAAACTGTTTTCTTATTGTAAAAATTCCATGTCGGCTTTAGCGACAGAATATTTATTATAACAGCAGCTCGACTATTATTTCTAGTAAACCGGGTCAGAGTCTGGAGGATTTCTGGCCAACTGTCACTGTTGTTTGCTTTTCCTCTAAAAGCCCCTTAAACACAACATGACCTCTGCAGGAGCTCACGCCTTCAGACGGCAACCAGCTAGAGAGATTTAAAAGCTCAATAATAAAGTAAAGCGCTGTTCAACTAGTCACATGTCAACACAGTTTGGCAAAACTGGATGAGGGGAACCATTTTTAAAAAAAAAAAAAAAAAAAAAGATGTGAAACATCTGTGGTTAGATTTCAGATTTAAAGGCACCAAAGTAACAAAGAGACATGCAGCTTTTAAAAGGGTCTCTGTAAACTTGAAGCATCTTGAAGGGCTTTAAGTGTCAGTCAACCCTTCATTCCCCAAGCTGAAAGACAGCAGACAAGAGAGGCGGCTTTTAATCTGTAAAGTTCATCAGTGGCATTAGATTCTCTCTGCCTCCAGTCGCTTTCATCTGTCGTTAGCATTTGTCTCCTTCTTCAGCTCTTGTTTTTTGTGGTCCACTAAGTGTTATGAAGGTGATAAATTAGAGAAGCTGTGCGGTTTGGCTTTGCCCCGGGCCTCACTGCGGGAGCACTTTACTTTGTTTCTGGTGCTTTGAATTATCCTGTCAACTCTCACTTCAAAGCTACAGCCTGAAATGTTGTGACAGAATCTAATACAGAAGAAAAAAAAAAAAAACAAAGATTGCTTGATACTAAATCTGTGGGAAAAAGACTGAACAAAAAAATGCATTAGAATAAAAAATATTTAAAAAAATGTAAACAAATGTACTCTTCAAAAGTATCTCAAATAAATGTAAGTGAAGCATGTTTGTAATTTATACTTTCATGTTTAAGTCATGAGTGTTTTGGTTTAGCTTTGTCATTTTCTGAAGTATTTCTTGCTTGTATTCAGCTGTAGTTCCACTGATCCTTGTGTTTTCCATGTTTCTCCTTGCAGTTTTTTCTCTTCAGTTAAACAGTCCTTCCTGTTCAGTAACCGCTCCTCTGTTACCATCACCTCATGTCTTGAAGAGTACTTCATTATCCTTCATTGTCAGTAAACATTTATTATATTACCTGCTTCCTGCTTGTGTTTTGGTTCAACAAAAAGTGACCGTTGATCAGAATGTGGAGGAACCAGTAACTATAATCCATGATGTCCTGTTTCCCTGCTAAACAGTAACAATGTGAGAACGAGCATCGTTTACGAGTAACGTGTTGATGTTCATCTCAGGTATGAATTTATTTATTTATATATATACATACACACACACACACACACATACCATAAACGTTTTCTGCCCTTTTACATTATTTTGTTTGTTCATTTTACTTACATTTACAAATACTTTTCTTCTTTATGCATTTTAATTAGCAAAATACTTTGTTTTGTTTTGCAAGCTGCAACTTCAATAAATATTATATTTAACTTACAACAAAATCGAAAATCCTACTCAAAATAAAAAAAAATAGTCTTGAGTTTGGGGTATGACTTAGATTCTCATCTTTAAAACAAAAATCAAAAGGTTTTTGTGATACTTTCTACTAGAAAATATAAAAATGATATTTACTTAGCGGCTGAGAAGTTTACTGATGCAGCTAAAAGTTACAAACTCCACTCAGTCCAAACACTTTTATAAAGGTTCCTTTTATGTTAGATTCTAAGAGGAACATTAATGATGAATATATTTTATTGTTGTATAAATACACACTAAGTTATAATTACCTCTCCCACTCCCTAAACTTTTGTCCAGCTTCAGTGGTAAACATGAAGAGAAGGTTTTAGTTCCAGGGATTAACTTTCTGCTGCTGCTGTCAGAATCACATGACTCCTCCTCAAATGAAAGAATGCCAAGTAGTCGGACAGGAAAGCCGTATTTCTCACTTTTATTGTCTTCTGTGAAGTTGTTTTTGCTCTAAATTGCTTTACCAAAACTTCCCTCCTCCGGACTTTCTTCGAGTCAAGATCTATTTTAAAACAGTTAGGCTTTCTCTTTCCTTTTGTCTTTGCTTTTCTTTCGGTTATTCTCTCTGTCTCTCCTCCTTCCTATCTGTCTTTTAACTTGGTTGTCAGTGTTTTTCTATAAAAGGAAAACTATGCCACTAGATAGAGGAGCTTCAAACAGTCAGAGGTTCCCTGAGCGAGAATCACAAGTCACATCTGCAAAGCAGGAACTATTTATTCCCAAACGCCTTGTGTTTATGTGACTGTTTGGAAGAAATGCATTGATGTATGTGAGCAGAACTCAATGCTTATTTCATGCCTACTTTGAAGTAAACATAACTGTATTGTGACAGCTGGTGGTAAAGTTGTGCTGATTTTTTTTACATGTATCTTTTTAAGCTTGACAAAGCCACAAATTAAAATGTACAACTTTCTAACATTCTGTTTGTCATTCTGAACCATTTCCTGACACTTCTGCATAGACAGTAAAACACTTCAACGGAGCATAACTCAACCTACAATTCCACTATTCAACAATCAGAAGACTTTGTAAATGTTTGGATTATGCTGATATTTCTGCAAAGGTTTGGATTGATTCCATTTGTTGCTTAAATATCAGACACAAACACACGAGGCCGTACCTCCGTCCTCAGCGTCCAGGATCTCCTGCAGGTATTTGAAGGAGCCAGACTGTTTGGGCGCAGAGACGGGCTCTTCGTAGTCCTGAAGCATCTTGTAGACATCTGACTGGGGGTCGAAACCATTACGACTCACTGGGGACTGCGGAGGAGGCTCTGGACTGAAAACCACATAAGAAGCATGACTCAGTAAAAGCTTTTGCAAAGCAGCCAACAGATGACGATTAGGAGTGAAGAAGGGTGAAGAACAGCATGTGTTTAGCAACGGATGAAGGAGGAAAGAATAAATCTCTACAGATTCTGGTTTACACACACAATGCTGATTATGCAGCATTATTTTTATATGAACAAAACACAGCTAATAAAGAAACAATTTACTTAAAGTGTAGATCCCACATTAACATTATCCAGTGGTCAACCTGAGTCACATGCTGTCACTCACTGCACAACCTGCAGTTACATCAAATGTGTGTAATGTTAATTTGAAGAGTCTGGTTAGTGACGCACCAACCAATCAGCCAGGTTGTTATGTGCTGAAAAACTTGAATCTTTATCAAAACTGCATTGAGTCTGTAAATGTATCAAGAAACAGAATGCTGTTGAAAAAATGTATTTTGAGTTTTGTTAAAATCAGATAAAAGGTAGATGCAAATGTTTATTACTTCCAAAGAAACAGCAGCACATTATTGTTTAATGGTTTTCGTCTCTTGCATTCAAGTTGCATTTGGAGGCAATATTTAAATAAATAAGTCTATAACTGTATCAGCCAGGAATAATATTTTTTGATATTTAAATCATTTCTTGGGAACTTAAAACTTATTGGGCTGTTTTTCTACAAAGCAAAATGTTTTGGTAAAATTAGGTGATTGACAAACAATCATCAATAACTAAATTGATTTATCTCTTTTTCATAAGATTCTATAATATAACCTTATTAATTAAAGTTTTGATCCTTGTTTGGGTCACATTGATTCTTAATCAACTTTAGTCACAGGGTTGGAAACATCAGCGTCAGCACAAACTGACGTGGTCACCAGCCACGCTCCTGTTTATGCTCTGAATAATCAGGTGTGAACAAATATTTTTAACACTGGATTTAGGTTAAATATACAACAATGAACTAAGAAAAAACAAAGAATATAAAAGGGAAAAAAATCACCAACGCAAGAGTGGAAAAACGGTTTTATAAAATCAGAATGGATGCACCAGAACAGCTGTTTCCTTTTCTCTAGATGTGATTCCTTATGCTGGGATTACTCTGGGATTATCAGCCGCTCCATGCCATGCCTGTGCTTGCTCATTCATCCAGATTGAAAGCTTCAAGCTTTAGGAAGATGATGAGCTGAGCTGCTGACAGATGTGTGCAGACCAGACACACTTAACGGCACGTTTGTCTCCAGACTCCTTTTCAGGAGCACCAGGAAGTTACATGACAGAAAAAACGCTCAGCTCTGTTTGAAGTGAAGCTGAGTGATAGAGAAAAATGGCAGTAATAGGTTCAGTTGGAGAAGCAGAATGACAGAAGTCAATGGGTGCCATGAAAATAGTTTTAAATATTGGGTTTTCCGTTGGGCTTGGGGTGGAGACCTGGATGGGATTAACAGTCCAGTCGCAGGGAACTCTGGGAGTTTTTCAGAGGATGTTCACCAGGGAACAGGAGACACAGGTTTATAACCTGCTGGAGGGAACACACAACAGCAAATGGCTTTTCCAGGCTATCAGGGGCAAGCCGCGCAGGTGTGTCGCAGGATATCCAAACTGGGTCTCTGTTAAGATCTGCACATACCGACATCTGCCATGTATGACATACTACAGTTCTGTTTTTAAATGAAATCCTACTTTTTAATTTCAGAGCCCGTTGCTGGAGACGGGCTCCTACTTCCTTGTGTGGTTTTCTCACAGCCGTGGTGTGCAATGAGGCTGATCTGGGAAATCTCACGGAGAGATATTCTGAAAGCCAACAAGCCTTAACAGCTTGCACGGACATGGTTCACTGTTCTCCACTCGTACAGGTTACAGCAGGAAAACAACATGGATCTCTTTGTTCTTTCTTTAATCTGGGTTTTATAGGGAACAAACACATTAAAATGAGGGCTTATTTTGATGGTAGCTCTAGAGAAAAGCTCAGAAAGGCAGAACAAGACTAATTAAAACAGCAGAAATAAGGTGCAAATTAGAACACAAAAACAACCTCACACACCTAATCCACAAGAGCTATTGATCCTGCAAATTATGGTTCATTGTCGGCACTTATGTCGTTTGAAAATCACGTTTATTGTCTCACCTGTGTGTGGCGCTCAGGCTGAGACCCCCCATCTTGCCTGGCAGGGATCTGTCCCCGTTGCTGCCATTGTGAGCATAAAGCCCTGCTGGGTTGTTGTACTGAGCATGCCCAGTTCCGTTCCCATATCCATAGCTGTGGCCGTTGTTGGGTCTGGTGTGTCCATTGTTCAGGTGAGTGGGCTGAGGAGTGAGAGGGGACTGTGGATCAGAGGTGTACGAAGGTTTACGTCCGTAGCTGCCAGAACTGCTGCTGATGGGACGGAAATTCTGCAAAAGAGACAAAGAAGAGGAAGAAAGGCATGTCAGAAGGGATGACTTTAATATTTAAATGGAAAATAGGTTAAAATCGAACATAATGGTGGAGATGATGCTTGGAGATTTTTATGGAAAAGAAACTTGAAAACGTTTAAAAAAGATTCCACTTTCTGTACTGCTTTCCAATAGGAATCAAATATTAGTTTTTATGATACCTTGTCTACTTTTTGTTACATTTGCATTTAGTTTGCCTTGCCTCGACACCTACATAACTGCTGTATCCTTGGAGTTTGTGCAGAGGTCAACACCCTCCTCATGCATTTGCACAAACGCAATGTGACATCATCGAGCTGCTCGGTGTTTACTGCAGCTATCAGCGCACTTAAGAGATAATGCTCGCTTTGCAGCCGGGCTCGGATGTCTCACAGACAGAATTTTCCAGATAAGGTTTTACTGCAACGCTCGCGCTTATGTCACCACTTCTGATACCGCTTCAGGCCTTTGAATTTCTAAGATAGCCAGCAGCTTTACTGACTAAACAAAGCTGTACATTATCACAGCTTCAGAGTTTTTAAACATTTTAGCTGAGATGGAGAAACTTGTTTACAAGTTCGACCATGCAACAGCATGAAAAACAGATTTCTGTAATTCTGAGCCAGTGGAATGGGTGCATGTGTGTGTATGTGTGTGTGTGTGAGCATGTGTGTGTTCTGGGCTGGTTTAAAGTGCTTCAGTCACAGGTGCTGGAGGTTCAGCGCCTCTGTAGCCAGAACCCTTGTTATTTCAACAGATGGATCTGCTGGATGTCCTCCTGTTCTCAGTTTTCCCCTGGACCACACGCACGCACACACACACACACAGGTCTATGGTAATCATGCAATCAAAGCTTTTCAAAGTGTAGTAGGATTTCCCTCTGCAGCAGCAAGCCTTAGCTTTCAAATTTCCCACCATTGTCCAGTCCGTATGGAGGACCAACACTGACATAATAAAAAAATAAAAGCATAAATATCTATTTAGCATAAATAAAGCATAAAAATCTAGTTATGCTTTTATTTTTTATTACGTCAGTGTTGGTCCTCCATAAGTCCCATGCTATTAAAGAAAATGTAAACCACAAACACTCCTTAAAAATTCAACAATACAGGCACATTTGAACAAAAGACGCTTTGATTAAAATATTAGTGAAGAGTTTGCATTCAGAGCTACAGCAACCACAATAAAGTTTTCTCCACTTTTTCATGTTGCAACCATAAACATCAGGAATTTTATTATTTTATGCGACAGACCAACACAAGATGGTGCTTTTTTTTTCTTTTATAACATTTGAAAATCGTGTTATGAATCTGTATTTAGGTGAAACCAGTTTGGCTGCAGTTCCAGCTTTAAGTCCTTTGGGGTTTTGCCTCTAACAGCTTCATACATCTGGAGACATTTCCGCCTGTTCTACTTTGCAATAAAGCTCAAGCCGAGTCAGGATAGATGGAGAACATCTGAAGGGTGCACTTCAAGTCCTTCCAAAGATTCCAACATGGATTTAGGTGTGAACTTTGACTGGGCCGTTCCACACTGGAATTCCAGCGTAGATCTGACCGGTCATTGTCCTACAAGAAATCCTACCCCCCTGTCAGTATAAAGTGTTTTACAGACACTAACAGGTTTTTCCATGATGTCAATGTACCCAACTTCTAACTTCGTATCAACTCTAATCAGCTTCCGTGCTCCAGCAGTATGATGCTGGCACCACCATGTTACCCAGTGTGACTGGTGCGTGCAGAATGAGGTTTACCTCAGACTTAGCGTTTTGGGTGTAGAGTGAAATGGTTTATTTTGGTCTCATTTAACCAAAGCACTTTCTTTTTAATGTCTCCTGTTTGGTTGTTACAAGCTGCAACAAGCCTTCATGGCTTATCTCAACAATCATTTTCTTCTTGCTATTTTTCCACAAAAGCCAGAGTGGAGTTCATAACTAATACTTATCCCATCATCACCTGGATTGTTGTATTGTTCATGCCGCCTCAGTTGTGGATCTCTGCAGCAGTCAGATTAAGTGAGCCACTCACTTCCTGTTTTAGGATAGTAGGTTGAAAAGTGATAGTAGATGTTTAAGCTGTCTGGTGGGTTTCTAGGTCTTCATGCTGTTTGTTCACTAATGGACCATTGCTAATGGTCAAACAGAAACTAAAGCCTTCACTGAATAGTGTTTGTTGTATCAAAATGAAGGACTGAGAATTCACTTTTTAATGTCAATTTGTTACAAAAAAGTCTAACATTTGTTAAGCATAGGGTTTTTTTATTGTTGTGGTATTACATATAATTCTACTAAAATACATTTAATTTTGTGGTCTTTATCCAACAGTGGAAAAAGGCAAATAAAAAAGTTAAATGTGAATAACTTTTGAGAGGCAGTTTAGAAGAAAAGAAACTAAATTCTAAGCAATGACGACCAAACTAGAACCAAACAGGCCAGACTAGATCCTGCTTGTTGTCTTTAGCTTCTTATTCTTACACTGCTGAATGCATGACAACCACATTAAGGCCTCAGTGTTTTTGGAAGTTCTTTGGTTTGGCCTAACAGTTTAGGAGTGTGAAGATTCTTTGAACAAATTAAATTCTGAAATCAACTTCTATTTTAAAATGAAAAGATCCACCAAAAATGTAGCATTGGCAGGATTTTTTAAGTTACTATTACTAGTTTGTGCCAAACCCTTTTCCCTCCAGTTGTCTCCTTTTTCCTTCTAACAAAACATTTTGATAACATTCGACTTTTAAGATTTCTGTTTCTGGCTGCTGTCCTCATGTGCACTTTTTCTTTATCCTCTTTAATCTTTCAATTTCCTGAGAATATATCCATAACTGAGGCAGAATTTCTTCAAAAACAAATAGCTGTCCCTACATGTCTTTTTTAGTCTTCATTATTCGTTTCTCACTCTTAGACAAGGTTAAATCTCCAGATAACAATCAGAAGAATAACTGAGACAACCGGGCGAGTTTAGTCACGTCTGTGCTCTTAGAAAAGTGGGAAAGAAAATCCATGAGAGTGGATTTTGTTACACGTTCCAGTTGAAACTTAATAGACATTTGATTTATGATACCGATCTCTGCAAACATGAGTGGAGAACGACAGGTAATCCTTTGTTAACATATATAATGACATGTTCAAAAGAAAGATAAAAGTCAAGGAATCAATTTTTGTTTTACAGACCTAGAGGGAAGTGACCAAGAAGAGCTACACAAAGTTTGCTTGCTCAGGCCCTGGTTGTAAATTTGCTAAAGATTAGATGCCATTATCCTTAGAATAAAATTAATAAAAGGTGAAGGATGTGCTCTGATCTTCCAGCTACGATATACACCTGTATTCTGCATTTCCTGCAGAAATACTGAAAAAGCTGGGACAGTTTCAACCGAACACACCTGACTGAAATGGGGTGACTTCATGTGTTTTGATTGAACCCAGCCAAGCCAAACCTGTCAGCCTTTCCTTTTGTCTTTTCATTCTTGCAGCGCTCTCTCCGTTCTCCCCGTCCACGCCCGTTCCACAGATATTTTCTTTAGATGGATGGAAGATTTATAAGGCAGCACATCTGGTGCATGCCTTATAAAAATGCCAGTATGTTTACATTCAGAACCTGTTAGTGCCTTTGAGGTGTAGGAACGGTGCAGCAGTTTGCCGTCTTTAAGTTACCTGTGCCAAATCTTCCTCAATAAAGATGCATATTTTCATTTTAAAAGTTTAGAGATGTTGATGTGGGCTTTTATCTAAAGATAAAATAGCCCTTTATTACCCTTACAATTCAGTAAAATTTGGTGCAACTTGCTTTTCCAAACAAAAACAGACTGAACTACTCCATTTATGAGGCCCAGCATTGTCCAATTCCCATAAATCGAGGAATCCACGTGATTTCAACAGCGTGCTTTTCACTCGTAACCAAGCATGACTAATGTTTCAGGAAGACTTGTAGTGTAAGGGAGTGTGTACACACAGGAAGGACCATGAAGAGTCAGGGCAAAGAGAGAAAAGTATGTGTTTACTTTTGACTTTACTTACACACTTCAAAATGTGTTACTGAGGTCATTTTAAGCCCAAACATGTCCACTCAATACACTGACAGAAAGTCCAACGTCTCAGTGCGCAGCGGGTCAGACTGTGGCAGAGCGGTGATTCGGGACCAGAGGACAGACGTTGGGGGTTGAAAGGTGGAGCAGCTTAAATGAAAGCACATGTTTGTTTATAACTGGAGACTTAAACCCAAATGCTTCACATACAAGTTCATGGCAATGCTGAAACATGCACCCACTTCCTGTCTTTGCTGCCTCCTGCATAGTTTAATTCATTCAAAGTTAAGCTTTTCAGATAGCAGCCTGCACTACTAACCAAACACAAACCGGCGCTTCACGGTTCCCCGGGCCTGACCCCCATTTGAAAAGCCCTGACGACAACAAAGAGTATCACGTGCTGCAGAAAAGTTGGTCTGAAAATATTAAATGTTTTACAAACATTTTGCAATAAAGAAAAAGTTAATTCTAATAAATGTAAATAACCTAACCACTCATGAATTTATGCTTTAGTAACAGTTTTACTGACCATACAGTTAAAATAGAAAGAGCAGCCAGGAGCTGCTGACCAGTAAACTAGATTAACCAACAGGAGTTCTGGAAGTTTGTTGTTCTGCAGCATACAGTTGTGGATAAACTCATACCAAGAAAAAACAATGACTGGAGAAAAACAATTGTTGCTGCAAATTAATAGAAGAAGGGTCAAGGTCATTGTACAGCAAGAAACATTTTTCACATGTCAATTTTTCAATGAGGGGACAGGAAAGAAAGTGACAATTCTACATCTTAGAACCTACAGGCCTCAGCATTACAATTAAAAAAGACTTAAGATGTGTTTAGTTTGATTTGAATGCTTGCTATAAAAAGTTTTTTAGCTCATACATTCAGGGTTGGTTGGCTGCATCTGAAGACAACTCCAACTTCAAGTCTCCAATCTTCTTTGGACATAAAATTGTGTGTTTGTTTGTAGTTATTACTTTACTAATCGGGCCTTAGAAGAGAGTCATTCTTAATTTCCCTGTACTGATTCTCTGCACATTGACAATAAAGTCATTCACTGAAGAAGAGACCAAAGCAGAGATATCTGCCAACAATGCAAAGCAAAATGTCTGGCAAAAATCAAGCACAGCCTGTAAAGATGTGTGTGGTGGAACCTTAAAAAATGTTTTTTTTGTTTATGAAAAAAGCTGGTATAATATTTTTAAAGCTTGTTCTAGTGTTACTGCCTGGACCAAGTAGTTTTGTGGTCGCTGAAAGGCCAGTAATCCACTCTTAATCCACATGCAGTGTTCCCATTTTTCACTAAAGAAGCTTTAAATCAAAGCTGTATCACAGTTAAATCAGAGTTAAATACTCTCAGGTGGGTAAAAAGGGTTCCATTTTGGTCAAAATGAGTCCAAAATGGAACCCTTTTAATCTGCACACACATGAAAATGAAAGGTGTGTAAATCAAATGCACCTAAATGATTCCAGACAGGTGGAGCCTCATGAACAAAAAAAAAGTTTTAACGACTCCATCTACTTCACAACATGCCGAGAGCTACGCACCTGAAACCGATGTGGACATTTCAGCGGATTAGTGGTTAGGTAGTGAACACAAACACTCATATAAAAGCAAAATGATTTGCAGGTGGGATGTCAAAGAAGAATATTTAGTGAATTATTGAAGCATTCGGTACACCAAACAGTCAGGCTTGCTAAGGTCAATAGACCATTAAATAATTGGACATCCCATCTTGAAAGGAACAGCAGCTTTAACAGCAAATACTTCAAAACAATGGCATTGTTCCTTTGACAAAACAAATGTGCTTTATGTGCACACTTTTGTTTTAAAAGCATAATTCAGTTCCAGGGACTGGGGGAATTATGGCCTGCAAGTCATGCAAGGAGTTTATCTGTCAGCTCCTATTAATGTTAGCTTGGAGAATTTGCTTTCTGCTGCCAACGCCTGAGCTGAGACTGGAAGCTTCCAGTGACGTGTGATCCAGACCTCTCGGCTTCATCATTGTGAGGCCCCATTCTTTCCACAGGACCATAGTTGTTGACCACAATAGCTAACAGTATAATGATAGGTTAGCTGCCATGAATGACACCGAGGAACTGTTAGCCAGAAGAACTGCTGTTTGACTTAAACATTGACAGCAGGAATTTCCCACTTACTTGAAGCTGCCACTTTATAACTTCAGTTAAGACACTTTAAAACACGAGTAACTGATAGAGTAGTATAACCATATTGGTGTGTGAAAATGTTTCAAGAGAAAAGCTGATAACCACGCAGTTAAAGCCATTTATAAAAAGATCTGATGCATATTTTGTAAAGGTCTTTTTTAATCCATTAACAGACTTTGACCTGACCTTGCATTCAGAACTGCTGCTCTATTAGAAATTGATTTTAGCTGGTCAATAAGCTGGAGCCGCTAGCCTCCACGCTGCTGCTGGACAGAGAAGCAGATTCTTTTTGCCAATTGTAAATTGACGTCACCCTCATAAGGTAACACTTAAGGATGGTGATACTTTAAATTCTACACCATGACTATTGGTGGAAATATTTCCAATCAGCCAAATGTGTTTTTCTTGTAAGTGTGGAAAAACTGCAGGTACTTGCGTCAGTCTGGTGATTAGCAACGCCGAGCAACTGGTGGGGGAGGAACTGTGGTGCATTTCTCAATGTCCATAAGAGGAAGAAAACATTTCTGAATCCTCCTTAGGAGGTCTTTAAAATATGAGATTAGGAATCATGGTGACAAAAACCCAGAGTTTTGTCATCTGCTGGGAGCTTAGAGTGGATTCTCTGCTGGTCTGTACCATGGGGAGCCAGGTGAGGATGTTCGGTCAGGAAGCTCCAGGATTGGGAGGTTTTCAAGTGACATCCCAGAAGGAGGAAACCCAGATCTCATTGGAGGAACTGTTTATCCCCTCATTGGGCTACGGTTCCCACTAAATACATTTTGTATTAACTTGTACTGTCTACTTTTCAGTGATGCTATACAAGTGCTTCTGAAAATGCCAACTGGATGGCAAACATGTAATTTGGATTCATGTTGACGCAGAGAAGCAAAGGCAAACGATTGGGCGTTTAAAAAGCTGCAGGAAAGAAGAACGTACTGCAAAAAACAACATTGATGACAAAACAAAAAGAATAACACTTAAAACGAAAGCAATTTACAACGGCCTTCCTGACACCTCATCATGACCTAACCCTTACCACTCGTCTTTATCACAATCATTTCTATTTTAAGAAGTTACATTTCCATCCTGTGGTCACTCTTTCCAAAATATGAGCACAGTTCCCAAGAAAAAACCCTGCATCATATGGTTCTACTGTTTTATAGAAACAGTCACATGGCTGCTTGGTTGGTAGCCAAAAACTACAGCATTTCCTCTCAAACTTTTATGAGAATCTCCAGGGCTCTCAAGGTGAAAGGAAACATCTCACACCTTCCATGTGTCACTTCCTGCTCAGTAGTAAATTCCCATAAGTCAGACTGGAATTTCCAACTATTTAATAAATATTCCATCTGTTAATCTGGGACTGCAAGAATAAACGCGCCATCTTCAAATGCTGTCAGCTAACAAAATATTGTTACCCTTAGCACAAAGCCAGATTTTTACAAGTGAATTGTAAATACAAGTTTTGAATGGCAGACCTTTCTTTAAGTTACTGAAAACAAAACTTTTAACTCGATTGTCATGCCCAGTCAATCTCTGTTGGCCGTTTCTACAGCAGCTCATCACTGCTCTGATATAAAAATCAGAGCCAAAAATATCACATGGTGCAACGTTTGAGTCAGCCTGTGTGAGCAAGGTCACGATGTGTATATCATTTCCACTGAGACTCAGGAACAATCAGCATTGTGATCCGTTCAAGCAGTTTCAAAAAACAGCCGGAAACAAAGAAAGAGAGAGCTGTGGCTCGGGGAGCGGATGTTTCCTCTGTTCATGCTAAGAAGATTCCACCTGAGTGTGACACTGAAGTGGCCCAGAGCTGGTGATTTCAAGCTGCTCAGGTTCACTTTATTGAAAGAGACGCCAGAGAGAATTTTTAGAGTTTGCTGAAGGAGAAAGGAAGGACTGGATGAGATGATACAGAGATGGAGAAAAAGGAAAAGGGAGAACAGGGAGGATTTGCTGCTCTCATGTTTCCACCAGGCAGAGCACTCCTGTCACGCTCGTCTGTGTTTGTATAAACTGATGCCGATTGTCTGCCTCACTTTGGTCTGGGATTTGCTTTTGCATGTTAAACCAGGACCTCAGATTGGACTGACTGAGTCAGGAAGGCTGAAGGGCCACCGGTTTTACAGAAAAATATTTGGACAATTTTCATTATCTCTGAAAAAGAGAACTAAAATTAACAGGACTACACAATAGATTAAATGCAGTTTCATTGAGACATCAAGGCAGATTAAAATCAAATATCTTAAAGGATCACATGCTGTGTAATATTTGCTGCTTATAGCTTCACATTTTCTATAGAAATAGTATCTTTGGTCAGCTGGAGTCTCACTGCAGATGATACTCACACCTGATATGTATAACAGCGTTCAAGATGAAAAAATGCACAAAGTTTTGCAAAAATTCTTTGTGCATTGAGTGAGTAAAATAAACTATCATCTCATTTACAGTATTTATTCATCCTGCATTAATAACACTAAGCTCTGTCTGGTAACTTCTGCAAAATGATGTGAAAGAATTAATGCATGCTTTGTAAATGTTTCTTTTAAAATATGAATGACTGAAGTCACCATTGTGATCCGTTTCACAGCTGTATAACGTATTACTGAGAAAATCACTGCTGGCTGGGAATGGTTGACAAATACTAAAAATATCACAGTATTGTGTAGGGAAACTCCCATGGAAAGCTGACAGAGTCACTGTTGAGAAATCAGCTGATGTAGATAAGAAGTAACCTTTAAAAGTGAAAGTGAATATTTTTAACAAAGAGCAATAGTGCTAACCTTCTGTATATTTTGTTACAAATCCAGGTCAGGCTCAATTCTACCACAACAGTCCTTGACAACTGAGCATCTCTCACGTATACAATACTCTCATTGTCTGTTTCCATCGTACAAACTCTTCACGCACAACATATGTGCACACATGTTTACACCCAACACACGTCTCATTCTCTGTGTGCTCAGAAACAAGCAGGCGTGCCAGAAATTGGGGGGGAAAAAATTGGAAAAAGCTCATCTGGTGGAGTTCATCATGCCGTGAATCTCCTTTTGGCAGCTGATCATTTGGAGAACAATCGAGACACTATTTCAACACGGTTCCAGCGAACAGTGGGACGCATTCTCCCATTTATAACAGACTTAATGACCATGTACATGCAGCTTGTGGATCGAGTTTTGTGCCTGTTTCCATAGATTCTGTTTGCTGTCAAAACAAACTGGAACCACTCAGCCACTAAGTTGTAAAGGTCACAGTTATGGCCGCAGACATGACTTACCTTCTCCTGTGGGAGATGCAAAGGGCTGTAAAAGACACTATCACCGACAGCTGATTTTAGAGCATAACTCAAATTTAGCTTCACTAGATTAAAGATTTGATGTTGGGTAGTAAAAATCAGTCACTATCTCTTTTATGGTGCCATATACTTACCTCCACTATTTAAATGTCTTTCCTAATGAATCCCATTCAACATGGTGTCATGTTATGAGTAGTTTCCTACTAAGGCCTGATCATAGTCAAGCTGAGAGACGAGTTGTGACTGCTTCCAAATTTTATGCAAATTTCATTCTGACAAAACACCCTCAGACTTGTCATTTGGGAAATCCAGAGAAGACGGTGGTTACCTGTGCATCAGGCTCGGCGAACGGACTTATCTTTCCATCTTCGCTGACAGTTGGTGACCACACTCTCTCTCCAGATCCCGACCTGAAACACAATCCCCATGAGAGACGGCGTTAAATACTGCCAACGTACCCTGTAGTGCTGAAGCGTCTGAAAATTTCTGCTGAGATGGATGGATTTTTTTCTTTTTTTTGCTGACAATATTCCTTCTGTATTAAGTGTCATTTTTTCCGAGAGTGAATTACTAAAAACTAACAAAGAAAAAGTGAAAGTAGACACTGTTCCTATTCGTTTTTCTGGCATGACTAAGCCAGGAAAAAAACCCATCAACACATAGTGTAATTGTTAGAAGTGAAGAAAACAATATGTTTTTTGTGTGTGTGTGTGTTTTTTTTTTTTTTACAAATATTTAAGAAGAAGTTTCTGTAATCAACCCCTGTACTCTTATACCCATAAATAAAATCCATTGAAATAAATTGCAGTCAGAAGATCCATTTGCCAAGTGGAGTCTCTTACTCTTGGAAAGAGCATTGCACAACGACAGACCTGTTGAGATACGTCTGTCTACTTGATGTGACCAGCCAGAAGGAGAGCATTGATCAGAAGCAAGATGGCCGCTCTGGAGGAGCTGCACAAATCAACAGGACATCCAGGAGTCATGAACTTCCCAATCCGGCAGCGTGACCGCGGCAGTTAACCACCACCCACAGACTGGAAGCTGCTCAGGTCAAATGTAAAACAACATTTTTGCTACATGTGGGGAAACAATGACTGCAGATATCCAAAGAGTAAAAGATGGTGGGGACATAAAGTTTGTTGTGATCATGCTTTGTTAGTAGTAGTAGTAGTTTTTCATAAAAATGTTATGGTTGTTGCATTACAAAATATGAAAAAGTACTGGTTGTATTATTGGAAGGAACTCAGAGCAGCTGATTTGTACATTTGGCAGGTTTTACCTCTGGAAATGAGTACAATTACTTCTCATCCCTCCAGACAGAGCAACATAGTAAAGTAACACTCAACACTTCAATGAGAGTTATAGTTTGGATCACAGCCAGTTCTTACTATTAATGTACAGAAGTAGTGATAACTCTATTACTGCTATCTAGGATTGTTAGACCGTTCTTTTGTTTGTATGCATAATAATCAACTGCAGCTAAAAACACTTATGAAAACGTGCACAACATACTGAATGATTGCTAGGGTAAGATGGATTATTTATTGCACTTCTCAATGGGCCTTCTGCATACATATAAGCAGGGGTTCACATGATTCACCTCTTCCTTTAGAAAACATACAGAAAAATGCTTCAGTGAAACCAAAAATGTGTCACCTTTTCCAGATAAAACATTGTAATTCATTCAGAGCTCTCTTCAGTTCTGTTTCCCTGTCAAGTTATGTGTAAATGTCACAAAGATGATTGAGGAGGGGTTCTTTAAGTAACATGAATCCAGATGAACCGTAGTGTTGGATGTGAAGAAGGGAACGCATGAAGCTTCAGTAACACTGGGCCAATGTGCCTGGTGTTTTGTGGGTAAATATCATGTTTGTGGGTAAACAGCATATTTATCCACAAAAAACACAAATGTGAGTGTCTGCCTGTAGTTGCTGACCCCACAGAGGGGTGAGGCTTTGTCGAACTCGATGAGATCACTGGGTTGCAAGCTGGCACAGCATTGCTCAGGCTGAGGCAACGCTCCAGATATGAGCCACGGAGGTGTTGCTATCAAGGATGCTCTTATGAGGCGCCGAGTGTCTGCCGGATGAGCAGCAGCTCCAGAACTGCGTAGGAAGAACGCTCCCGCCCTTGCACTAAGACCTCCATGATTCAGAAGCAGAAAGTCATAATTCTTTCCCCAGATTGTTTGGTTGCAGTGGTTACCACACAAGCAG